CGAGGCTCTCGACTGAGGCACTTGCGCCCCTCGGGGCGCCGTGTGCGGGGCCCGTCCGGGGTAGGGATGGGGACGAGCGGTAGCAGGTGCAGGGGCCGCTTGTCAGGCAGAGAGCGAGCGAGCGAGCCGGCGTTGGGACCGTCCCGGTATCGCCCCAGCCTGGCCGGGCGGTTACGTAACGTCCTGCGCACGGAGCTCCGCCGGGGACAGCGCACCGCGTCCTCCCTGGCCCCGAGCTCGGGGCGTGCTGGGGCGCCCTGGGAGCACAGCCTCGCTTTGCTAGGCAGACCAGTCTCGAGGACCATATTTCTCTTTACCTCTGTTGTTTGTGGGGTAAAAGAACTCTAGGCAAGCACTGCATCCTTTCTGGTCTAAACAGTAGTTCTGAATCTTTCCAGTATTGGCTGGATGGAGCTGTGCGATTGAGTCTGATGTCTTTATGCAAATGTGTCCTGCGTGTTGATAAATTCTTCAGTACTTACTAGAAAGCAGAATGGCAGAACTGTGTTGACAACTAGCTTGTGACTAAGATTTAGTGGGCAGAAAATTATTATTCCTTGTAATAATTTATAAATCCTTCTTGGTTAGTGTACTTTTGCAGTAGAACTTCAGCACAGCATACTGTTACCACACGTACGAAAAGCCTTTGTTAAAGACAACTAAAGGCCTTGAAGTAGAGGCTGCTACCCTTCTGTCTGCATCTTTAATTAGCAGTGTCATAAGCATTCCTTCTTCATTGTGTATGGTCACCTGTTACTTTGTCCTCAAGTGTTTTCACTATGCTTCATCTGTACTGAGGATTATAATATTGTATTCTTCTTTTCTACAGTCTCTGAAAGTGGAACATTTAATTACAATCTCCAGCTGAGTTTTTTCACTTTTTTTTCTTGATGGAACAACTGTCATAGCTTTTCTTAGCAGGAGGGAATCAGACCTATGATTACACTCCTGGAAAAGCTCTGAAAGTTTCTTGCGGTTTGCTCAAGGCTTTTAGCTATTCCTACTGCTTTCTATGGAAGTTTCAGGCAGTGTCTTCCATGTGCAAAAATGAAGAGAGCTACTGCTTTTTTAAGATCTTTGTTGGGAGTTATTTTTCCTCCCAAATATTAATTTAGGATGTGTTCAGCAATAATATAAAACTTGGTATAGAATTTATACTGACTTACGGATTGAAATAAAAAGGGCATGCTTTTTTTCTCTGTTAAAAAGACTTTGGTTTTTTGCTGTTGTTAGTAGTGAAGATAAAACCTTTAGTTCTTACTTCAGTGTTTCAAAACTGCTATGCGTTTAATGAATTAATGTTGGCTGCTAATTTTTTTTCTTTTTTTTTCTCTAACCATTCTTTGGAAATGTCTCTCTTCTTGTTTTCTCACAGGCCTAATGTTACAGTTTTTCTGATTGTGAGTGTGCAGACCAGATGCTGAGGTGAGATCTTTATACCTTTACAGAAAAACTTTCTCTGAAGTGATTATGGGATTTATTGGAAAGAATGAGGAAATTTCTGATTGTTTTTCTTTCCTCTCTGCAGTGTGAAAACAAATAATGTTTGAGAAAGGAGGAGTAATTCAGAACAGGAAACACGTATGCTATGGTTAGCTGGTTCCCATCATTCGAGAATCTGTTTTCTCATTGTGTGAAACTTGTTCAGCATCGGGATAAAGGATAACGACTCTATGGATATACAGAATTCTTCACCATGGTAAAACTCGCCAACCCGCTGTATACAGAGTGGATTTTGGAGGCAATCAAAAAGGTAAAGAAGCAAAAACAGCGTCCTTCAGAGGAGAGGATATGCAATGCAGTGTCGTCTTCGCATGGTTTGGACCGCAAAACTGTTCTGGAACAGTTGGAGTTGAGTGTTAAAGACGGAACTATTTTAAAAGTCTCCAACAAGGGTCTCAACTCCTACAAGGATCCTGATAATCCTGGGAGAATAGCACTTCCAAAGCCTCGGAACCATGGCAAGTTGGATGGTAAACCAAATGTGGACTGGAATAAACTTATCAAACGGGCAATCGAGGGCTTGGCCGAGTCTAGTGGCTCATCCTTGAAGAACATCGAGCGCTTTCTGAAAGGTCAGAAAGATGTGTCTGCATTATTTGGGGGTGGCGCTGCCTCCATTTTTCACCAGCAATTGCGATTAGCTGTCAAACGTGCTGTTGGCCATGGAAGGCTCCTTAAAGATGGACCTCTGTACCAACTCAACACTAAAGCAACCACTAATGCTGATGGGAAGGAGAGTTTTGAGTCTCTTTCCTGTCTCCCTCCAGTGTGTCTCCTTCCCCACGAAAAGGATAAGGTAAGATCCACTTTACATGGGCATTTTCTTGTGGTTGATGAAATGTATCAATACAGAGTTGCAATTTGAGGTCGATGATTTGTTTAACTTGCATCTTGTAGGTTAGAAATTACTAATTTGCATTTAGGATCCTACTGTGTCCGAATTTCTAAGTGTGATCAGAGGAAGCATAATAGATTGTAACTTGTACTTTGGACCTGAAAACTGGAAATGAACTACTGTGGGGAATTTACCTCTTAACTCTACTGTATGGTTGAGCTGAATGTATGATAACAGACTTACTATAGTTATGTTAGGAAAACATAGGAAAGTAAGCCTCCTCATTTTAAAGAGAGGTGGATTTGCAAAGCAAACTTGAGATAATCTCTTATTTTCACACTTTTGTTTGACTGCCACTTCGACTTCCTATTTGAATACAGATAACATAGTGAAGCGCTGATTGGAACCTAATGCTGATGTAGAGGCTTTCTTTGTGCCCAGTGAAGTAATCACTTTCTGTCCCAGAACAGTTGTGAAATAAGAAGAAAAGGTGTATAGGATATAGCAGTTGAAAATAAGAGTGAAATCAGAGGATGTAGAGAGCATGGAAACGCTGGAATGAACCCTCATGGACTTCTATTCTCTTTTGTGTGCCTCCCCCCACCCTTCTTAAATATAGTTCATTATACAGACTGAAGTATTTTTCTGTTATTTTCTCTTATTGTTATGCTTTTTTCTCCCTCCTTTCTTCCATCCTTCTGCACACTTGAGGTCTTTGACCCCCCCACTCCAACCTCAAGATGAAGTTGTTGGAGTAAAATTCATACCCAATCAGTTATCTTTCCTGTCCTTGTGTTACTGTGGAAGCAGAGTAAAACGGAAGCTTATGTTCGTTTATGGAAGACCAATTTGCTAGTAATTCATATCTTTACACTGCTAGTCTCCAGGACTTCTAGAATGTGAAAATTATTTTTTCTATCCATAACAGATACGTTTTTCAGCAGCATTGGAAATGTTTTGTTGTTGTAAATATGCTCTTCAGGGATGAGTTCTTTGAGTGCGTGCTGCTCATGTTTTTTAAAGTCAGCTTCACCGTCTGGTGAGAGGGCTGCTTTATGTTTTATTAGAGTTTGAAGACTTAAAACTACTGTAGGAGTCTTCTGCATTAAAAAAATAAATAAATCTGCACAGCTGCTGTATCACCAGTAAAGTTTCTCTGAAGTTCTCCTTGAACTGTAGGACCTCTACTGTGGACACAGTACTTAACTAGTCAGTGTTGTGGGCTGGTGGAACGTAGGAAGTAAGTATTACTATACTGAAAATTCCAGCAGCTTTCTCCATCCTTTTTTTCAAATGTTCTGTCTACAAATATTTCCTATGTACTTCTCCAGCTATATCTATAACCAGTATAGCTGTAAAATGGTATGAAAACTGGATGTAAACAAGTCTAGCACATGAGGCTAGTAATTGATTGAGAGTGGTAACAGTGGAAAATATTAGCTGTGCATATTATTATTAACACAGTATGTTCCGCAGCTTATTCAGTCGTAATGTGCCAAAACTCAGGACCAGCTTGATATTCTTTCAGATGAAGTGTTCCCTGGGATTTTCTTAAAATGGGATATATCAGAGTGGTGAATGATAACGTGGGTTACTATAAATACTGAATTTGGTCTGAGGTTTGTTTTTTGTTCCCTGGAAAAATGTGTGTCAAGTTCTCGTGTGTGCGTAAATATAAAGACATGCACGTGTACATGTATGTGCGGTTTGAGCTGTTAGATACGCTCCCTAATTCATTTCCACCTGCTCACATCTGAGCAGCTTGAACACTAAAAGGATCGTTAGTAACACTAGGATGCACAGTAGCTATAATAAGTTTTGCAAGGAATTTCTTCAATAAATTCTTCTGGGTTTTTTTGGTGTTTTTTTTTTTTTTGGTGTGTGTTTTAAACTAACATCCTAGATTTCTGCTCTTCGTGTACAGTCCCTGCGGTATAATTCATGCTGAGTTTCATACTAGTTTCTTAAGTCATTTTGAAAACATGATATTAAAACATCTATGTAGATTCTACCAACATTAATTGAATAGCAAGTCAGTGGAAGCCAGATCTGTGGGGGGGGTTTTTTGTTTGTCTTGTGTATGTGTGTTTTTGTTGTTGTTTTTTAATGCAGGCACTATGTGATAATCTTCCTTCACTCTACTGTTTTGTGTTAAATCTTAGCCAGTTATGCAGATGCAAAAGGCTTATTATACTGTAGTGATTTTCTTGACTTAATGGGTTCTTGAAAGTGGTGAGGGATTTTTTTGGGTTGGGGTTTTTTTGGAAGGTTCCTTCTTTTCTTTAATGGAATTATTCAGTACAGATTCTTTGGGAGTATTGTGACAATGTTCCTCTTGATTCTTAGAAGAGTCTTGGCAACAACATGAACAAAAGGTCAACCTCCCAAACCCCTAATGACCTGTCTCATTTGCTGTTAATCTGTTATCCTTGCATTGTTTGACCTTTACCATTCATTTAAGAACTCTCCGTGTATCATATGATCCAAATTTATGAATCTTAAACATGTAATATTTCTTCCTTTCATTTGTGCAAATGCAGCTTCCACTCAGCTGCAAGTGCTTACCTGTCTGTTGGATGGTAGTGTCACTTTCTTTAGATGCCTAGAAGTGAACATTCAGTTCTGGATATTTTCCTGTGTATTATGACACTGACTGCCTTGCGGGAGGTCTGCAAAAGTTGTGGCTTAAATTTTTTAAACAGAGTAAACGTAAAGCAGCCTGACAGAAGCTTTGTTTAGTAAATATTACTTGCTTTTTTCAGATCTTATTTTTTGTCTCAGTGTTCTGTGAATACCACATTCTGGTGTTCAAGGGCAAAAAAACCTGGCAAGCTTTTAGAAGGTAGTAATGACATGCTGCTGACATTACAGTTTTGAAATCCCTGAACTAAAAACACTACTTGAGTGAAAACAAACAGAAAAAACAACCTGCTGATGGGCAGAGCTCATTGCTGAAATCTGCTTATCTGTTAGTGAGGATGGCTGACAAAGAGTTGTCTTAAATTTCAGTTTTAAGCCTCTGTGTGCCTTCACTTGTGTAGGCTTTAGGGAAGTGGCCTTTATTTTCAGTTTCCTGTAGTCTAGAAGCTAAAATGGGAATTGCAGTTAAGAGCTATTTTTGCATTCCGTGTGATGTTTTGGACTAAATGCTGTGCTTCACTTCGGTGTTGTTTCTGTGATAGGTGATAGACTGGTAAGATTCACAATGCGTATCCCTGTTGTGGGAAGAAAGGAGGGGGTGGTGGCAAATTGTTGTAATACCTAAAAGTAAAGGGAGTTCATACTGAAATTGTAATGAAAAAGAAGATGATTGGGTTACTACCTCTTGGGTAAGTATGAGGCAAACACTATCCCTTCAACATAGCTGGAAGTGAGGGAGTGTAGATGTCAGGCCTCCCACATTAGGTCAGCTGAAGTCCACCGTGCATCAGTGACATCTGTAGGGAACGAGCAACACTGTGCAAGCTAGACTCTGAAATAAGTAATCACGCTGACACAGTGCAATTTCTATAGTAAAGCCCTGATCGAATATGTATGAAAGATGTCTTCAAAGTATAACTGTCACTTCTGTTTCATGTGTAGTTAGCATATTTGCAGACTAAACCAGGATTTTTACTTGTTAATTTTTTTTTTTTCTTGAGGAGAAATTGCTGTATGGTAGTATCTGTTCAGATAAACAGTTGTTTCTTGAAACTTCCTACTAATTATTATTTTTAAAAGTGCCTTTTCTGAGATGGGAGAAAAAAATTATTTTGTGCTGCTTTGAAAGCTATAATTTATCTTTAGATGAATGCCATGTATCTTTAGATAGCTGAGGGCAGAATCTTTTTGTTATCTTTATAAAAACTCAACAGAATAAACAATTGATACTGTTTTAACATATACTGGCTATTGAGATGTCTTTGGGAATAGAAAGACTTGACATGAGTATGCAGAAAAAACTTAGTATCTTGATGAAATTTTCTGGGATGTTTCACCACCACTCGATTGGGTTTTTAGATTTGTTTTTGTTTGTTGTTATTGTTGTTGGTGGTGATTGGGGCAGGTGCTGTAGAGATGATTTAGGAAGTTAATTTTATTTGTACTGGCACCTTGCATCTCTGCCAGAGGTTACCATAGCCATTGCAAAGACAAAGCAAGTGGTGTTTTGCTCCTCAACTGCTGTGGTTTGTAGCCCAGTTTATTACTATTAAATAAAATTGTTGGTTTAAGTTAATGTTCTGTGTTGTGAAATTCAGCTGATGCTGGAGGGAGAGAATCTCCAGTGAAGGGACAGAGAGGGCAGCGCAGGGCGGTAGCCTTTTTAGCCATCTCTGTTGTGAACTGGCACATCATCAGAGGCCTTGGTTATGTGCTGTGGAGCTGGCCATGCAGCCTGCTATACGTTTCTTTTATCTGTACCACTAACGTCTGTATCTCTTCGCTTGCTTTTTGGCACAAAAGTTGGGTTGCGTTTGCCAGACAGAGAGACTGATTTCTCTCTCTTATAGGCACTTAGTTTGAAACACTCTATTTGTGCTTTGAAACCTGAAAAGTAACAAGTGTCTGATGCTTATGTATGGCTATCAAATGCATAATATATATTTAATTGTGGGATAACTTTGTTGTGAGGTTTTTGTTGGGTTTTTTTTTGTTATTTTGTTGGGTTTTTTCCCAGTTCTATTGAAACAGAAGATCTCACTGAATCTATGTTGGTCTGGAAAGCCCTGAGTTGTCTTCCTGAACAGTTCTCATTGGTACAGTAGCCTTTATTCGTAAGGCTATGTTACCTAGTAGTTCAAATCATATTGTGTTGGCACTGTACAAAAGCATAACTCAAAAGTATCTTGTTTTGGAAAGTTGACATTTAGTGTGAAATAAGACAATGCTTATGAGATGGAGAGCATAAGATAATGCTATCTATGTAACAAATAAAAGTCATGGTATATTAGGTACATTCTGAAAACTTTAATCATGTCTTT